GCTCGAGCTGGAGGCGCTGCTGGGCGAGCTGCTCCCGCTGCAGCGCCAGCTGCGCGTGCCGCTCCTCCTGCTGCTGCTGCAGCACCTGCTGCTTGATGCACTGCAGCTCCTGCAGCTCCCGCTGCACCAGCAGCTGCTCCTTCTCCCGGTGCCGCTGCAGCTCCGCGCGCTCCCGCTCCAGCTCCTCCTGCAGCCGCAGCTGCCGCAGCTTCTCCAACTCCACGCGCTCCCGCTCCAGCTGCAGCACGTGCTCCTGCTGCTTGCGCTGCCGTTCCTCCTCCCGCTCCCGCTCCTCCCGCTGAGCCCCGTCCAGCGGTGGCTTGGCCGCTGCGGCCGCCTGCCCGCTGTCCTTGCCGGCCACCGGGGCCGCTGGCCCCTCGGCACGGGGAGCAGCCCCTGCCGGCTCCGCTCTCTGCAAGCCAGCCGTGGGGGCGGCGGGGGCTTTGGGAGCTGGACCGGCACCTGCCGCCGGTGGTGCCGTGCTGACGGGCTTGCCCAGGTAGACGGGCGTCTCCATCAGCGAGGCGGCCGGGGCCGGCCGGCTGGGGGCCGGGTAGCGGTAGAGGCCCTGTGCCGCCAGCGGGACACGTGGCGTGACGACTGGCAGCCTGGCCAGGCTGGCCAGTGGGACCGCCGCCACGCCGCCCGGGCCATAGGGTCTGTACAGCCCGCGAAACATGGGCCGCAGCACCGAGGCGGGCTGGGTGGTGATGGGCAGCGTGGAGGCGATGGGCGTGTTGATGGTGGAGTAGATCATGCCGTCAGCGGCCCGCACGGTGGCGGTGGAAGGGAACATCTGCCGGACGGCGCCCAGGCGGACGCCGGGGATGTTGTACTGCGCCAGGCTGCCGAAGCCCTGCCGCCCCTCGGGGAAGGTGGGGTTGTACATCCCGCCGGGTTTGGGGGGCGCGGGACCCTGCTGCTGAGCTGCTAGCCCCCCCGTGCCCCCCGGCCCGGCACCGGGACCATAGGGCAGCAGGTCGGGGCCGTTGGCGTGCCGGCCCCCGTACTGGTCCATGGAGTTGAGGGCGGCGCACATGCGGCTGATCTCGCGGGCCGTGGTGGCACTGTAGTGGGCCAGGCTGGACTCCTGGAAGCTGGCCAGGTCCCCCCGGGGCGAGAAGCGGTAGTCGGAGTAGATGTTGGAGGCTGAGCTGTACCTCCGCATGGGGAGTGGGTGGCCCAGCAGCTCTGCTGGCTGGCGGAGGTCGGAGAAGGAGCCGTACTGTAGCCCCTGGCCCAGGTAACCCCCCTCGGCGAAGCCCACGCTGTAGGAGTGCTTCATGGTGCTGAGGTCCACGGCGGCATCGCCTGCCGGGGAGGGGAAGGGCTGATCCCCCTTTGTGGGGTAGTAGTTCATCCCAATTTCAGAGAGGTTTGTGTCCGACATGGAGGAGTAGAGGCGGCCAAAGGTGCCGGCGGGGTAAAACTTCTGCTCCTCGTAGAGCACAGGCGCCGGGGCAGGCTGCTCTCGGTAGGGGAAGGTCTCCGGCAGCTCCGGCTCTCTGCTGCCGTAGAGGGGCCCGCTGGCTTTTCGGCTGGGTGCCACTACCTCCCCGGCTTTCTTCTCTGGCATCTTGGAGGTGGGGTTGAAAGCGCCAGTGCAGCTGCTGCCAAAGGGGAACTTGTAGACCACGTCACAGCAGGCCACCTGGCTCTCTGGCTTCACGCCCGTGAGGTCCAGCACATTGGCCGCCGGCTCCTCCTTCAGCACTTTGGTCACCGGGCTGGCTGCTGCCTCCTCCATCTGCACCATCATCACCTGGGACTTCTTGCTGCCCAGGGCAAGGAGAGGGCTCTGGCTTTTCAGCTCCACTGGCACTGCCCGGTACAGCTCTGAGCCTGGCTCCGGTGGGAAGGGCTGCGGGAGGCCACCGACGCTCTGTGCCCCACCGGTCTGCGTGATGAGCACGTCCTTCTTCACCATCTGGCCCGGCACGCCGTACCTTGCAAATTTAGTCTGGGAGGCAGCGGCGGGCTCGGGCTTGCCGCCGGCTGCCCCGCTGGCTCTGACAGCGGCCGTCTGGACACCCTGCTCCACCTGCTTCACCTGCGCCAAGCACACCGGGCTCCCAGTCCCCTGCCCAAAGTCCACCCTGCTCTGGAAAGGGTCTCCATAGACCACGGGCTGCTTGGGCTGCGAGAGGAGCATGGGGGAGGCGATGGCCAGGCCGGCGGTGCTGGCTGCCGCGATGATGGCATGGGGCTGCTCCTGGGCGTTGAGGTTGATGATCAAGGGCTGGATGGCTGTGGACTGCCGGCTTGGGATGTGGTCCAAGGTCAGGCAGTACTTCCTGGCCTCGGTGGCCAAGGAGGTGAGGTCCATGCCTTGGTCTGTTATGATGATGGGTGCGGACTTCAGCGCAGTCCGTAAGTCCACGGCGTTAGTGCTCGGTGCCTTGGGCCCTGGCTCGACCCGGGACGTGCCGGGGATGGAGGAGATGCGGCAGAGGGATATGTTTTCCGCAGGGAGCGCTCCCCAACTGTACAGCCCCGTGATGCCGTCGGCGGCTGAAGTCACGGCGGGTGCCTTCTGGGCGTGCTCCTTCACCGGCTGTGCCCTGACATAGGCACCCAGCGGCTGCTCTGGCTCCGGCGCCTGGCTGTAGCCGTGTGCTGGCAGCTGCCGGCTCGGCCTGGTGGGGGACGAGGTGGGGGATGTCAAGGAGCCGGAGCTGGCTGGCTTGGTTTGGCTGGCCGCGTCAGCCGCCAGCGTGATCAGCATAAAGGGGGCATCCTGAGAGGAGGGCTGCCGGGCCAGGCGCGGCGAGCCCGCCCGGTGCGGCGTCTGCGTCCCCTGTGCCACCATGGGGGAAGAGGCGGCAGGGCCGGCAGCGGTGGCAGTGGGACTCTCGTAGGGGAGGAAGGGGCTCTGCGTCTGCGTGGAAAACTCTGCTGTGGCCTTTGCGGTGTGGGTGGGACTCTGTGTGGGGGAGGTGGGCGAGAGCGGAGGGCTGGAGCTCTTGAAGAAGGGGTACGTCTTGGGTGGCGGGGGCTTGCCGTCGCTCGCAGCCGGGAGCTTCTCCCTGGCCGTCTGCACGCTGATCTCCACCGCCGCCTTGCTTCTGCCAGTGTCCTCTGTCTGCGAGCCGTAGCTGACGGTGCTTTTCACCGGACTGTAGCTTCTGCCGGCTACGGATGGGGCCTCTGGAGCCGGGGAGCTGTAGCTCCGCGGCGCGCTCCCGGGGCCGCCCGCAGCTGTGGTCACCATGCTGGCACTTTTGCTGTAGGCGTAAGGAGTGGTGGCGGCCTTGGACACCGGGCTGGGCGCTGCCGGGGTGCTCTGGAGCTTGGCTAGGTCTTGCCCCTCTTTCGCAAAATGCTGGGTGACCCGGACGTCGGGAATGGCCTTGCCCGTGCTGCTGTCAGAGGCAGCAAAGGAGACAGGAGCGGAGAGCTGCGTGGGGCTGGTGCCAGGGGTGAGCGGACCGCCGTTCTGCTTCATCAGGTCGGCGTAGGCGCTCTCAGCATTGAGGAAGCGCTTCTCCTGGTATACCTCCTCCTGCCCCTTTGCCTTCTCTCCCTGCTCGAGGGCCAGGTCGAAGGAGGAGGACTGGTGCATCCTGGAGATGCTCTGTGAGGTCTGCAGTATCTCCTCGTACACTGCTCCTGCCTTCGGCAGGGTGCCTGGGTAGCCGGGCTGGGAGGGGTGCGCAGGGCCGCCGTCATACCGGTACTCCTCAGCATACTGGTACTCAAAGCCGTTCTGACCCTCGGTGCTGCGGTAGCTGACCTGCTGGTAGGTGCCGCTGTAGGAAACGGCCGGCTGGGCCTGCTGGACCTGCTGGACCTGCTGCTTCTGCATCATCTCCGCCTTCCTCATCATCTCCTCGTAGGCTTCCTCAGCACTCTTGAGGGGCTTGCTGGCGGGCTGGCTGGGGCCACTCTCCCCCTTCTCCGTCGGGGAGTACAGGGACATGAAGGTGGGCAGGTTGTACTCACTGCCTGACTTGTACAGCTTGGAGGTCACGGTGTCAAAGCTCTCAGCCTCCGAGTCAATGGAGGGCGAGTACTCAGAGCAGGAGGAGCGGTGCAGCTCCTCCATCTCCGCTGCCTGCCGCAGCTCCTCCGTGGGGGAGGCGTCCTCGATGGGAGAGAGGTTGCTAGGGGGGGTTTTGGAGCGTTCCCTCCTCCGCTGGGCCCTCAGCTCCTCCTTGTCACGCTTGGTCTTGCGTGCCGTGCTCCGGATGCGCTGCTGCTCCACCTCCCGCATCTTCTCCTGCTCCCGCAGCAGCTCCTCTTCCTCCCGCAGCTCCTCCTCCTCGGATGAGTCCTCGATGGTGGGCAGCAAGGGGCCGTGTGAGCGGTGGCGAGCCTTCCTCTGCTGCTTCACCTCCTCCAGCCGCTGCCGGCGGCTGGGGCTGCTGTCGCTGTCCTCCTCCAGGGATGAGATGGATGTGGGTGAGGTGCCTGAGGTGTAGCTGGGCGTTGTGGCCGGCAGGGTGGAGGAGTACTCGCCCCGGGAGCGCTCCTCGGGGGAGCCCGTCAGGCTCTCCATCTCCAGCTCGGGCTCCCGGTCCAGGCTGGTGTCCGCCTCCTGGCCCATCTCCATCTCCCGGCCGTAGCCGGTTGTGCTGTTCAGCTCGATGGTCTTGAAGCGCCGCAGCCCGCCCTGGGCCGTGCTCAAGTCGTCACCCTCCCCAGCCTCCAGGTCCTTCCTCTCCTCCTTGTACAGGCTGCCAGGACCATGCTGCAGGCGCCGCTTGGCTGACGCTGGCTCTTTGCCCTTCTCCACCTCGGCCTTCTGCCCGGCTTTGGGGACGCCGTACTTGGGGCGCCTGTAGCCTTCCTCGTCCTCCTCTTCCTCCTCCTCCAGGTTGTCCTCCTCCGCGCTCATCTCCAGGATCTGCCTCCGCATGAACTCCTCGTCGCTCACCTCCGCCTCTCGGCCCTTGGGCCGGGGGGGCACTGGGGAGAAGCCCCCCTCGCTGCTATCCTCCACATAGTCGTGCCGCAGCTTGCTGCCAAACTCATCCGAGGACTCCGCGCTCTCCCGCCGCTCCCGCTGGTTCTCCCACTCCAGTGAGTCCTCATCCTCCTCCAGGATGTCCTCCAGCTCCTCGTCCGAGTCGAAGGCTTCGGGGGTGATGGAGAGGTACCGTGGCCGCTGCCGCTGCCGCTGCTCCTCCCGCGGCTCTGGGCAGCCTTTGCCGCGCTCGGCGGGCTCCGGCGGGGCGCTCCGGCCTTCCAGGAGGGGCCGCATGCTGCTCTCCAGCTTGGTGAGCTCTGAGGGGCTGGGGGGGCTCTGCCCGGCCAGCCCAGTGCCGCTCAGCTTCTCCTCCTCCTGCTGCACCAGGCCGGTGATCTCGCTCTGTGAGCTGGAGATGCCGTCGGAGGAGTAGCCGGTGTCGCTCAGGCTCTGGGGGCTGCGGGACAGGTCCGGGGGGTAAGGCTTGCTCCCATCCTGCGGGTGAGCGAGAGCACAGCGTCAGACCTGGGCGGCTCCACAGCTGCTTCCCCCCAGATCCTCCCCCGGGGAGCACGCAGAAGATTTGGGCAGCGTTGAGAGCCAGCCCAGCAGGAAGACTGGGGGCTGCCCTGTGTGTCCCCCCCTCAATGGCTCGTCAGCAATTTGTCTGCGCGCTAATGAAAGCAGGTGATGGAGTGTGCTGCAAGCAGGGGATGGCACAGCAAATGCCCCTGGGGGCAAAGGCATCACGGGACTCATAAATATGTTTAAAAAATTGGGCCCCATCAGTGTTATCTCCCCGATAACTAACACGAGAAGGCTGTCTAATGGCAATATCGATTTTTCTACTACCCACTACTTAGAGAGCCAGTGGTGGCTGAGCCCCAGCCATAAGCCTCAGGGTACCAATGGCCACACGCGCGTTCCTGGGGAAGGGATGCAAGGGCAGAGCTGCCTGCCGCTCTCCCCAGGCAGGCAGCTGCCTGCACGGGGAGAAGCCCAAGCACTGGTAATGGGGTGTGGGTCTGGGGAGGGGGCAGCCCTAGTGCCCCTGGTGCGGTGGCACTGACGGGACAGGAGCTTTGCCGGCGGCAGCCATGGGGGATGGCCGCCTTTTAATGAACTTTAATTTCCCTGACTGACAGTCATGCAAAGCAGCCTTTAGAAGCAGGGCGGCCCTCAGGATCCTCGTTAGATGCCAGCAGAAATAAACAGGCCTTTTAACTGACATTACCATTAGGCAGCATGGGGGCAAGCCTCTGAGCCGCAGGGAAAGCGCCGTCACTCCTGGCCCCAGTGCTACCGGCAGGGCCCATCACCCCCACGGAGGCACCATTGACCTTACTTGATTTCGGAAGCCAGAAGACTGGGATGCGAGGTGCCTCTTCCCCGGGGCAGCCATCCCCTCCCAGCTGGTGGGGGACCTCCTGCCACGTCCCCTCCCCGTGGGGAGCTGTGCTGGCTGCTGCTGGGATGGTTGCTCACGGGGGAAAACCATCCCAAAGCAGCCAAATGTTTCCCCAGATTGTATTGAATTTTAAAAAAGGTGGGATGAGGAACTTGAAAAATGCCTGCTGCTGCAACATGAAATGTGAAATGAGTTTTCCATTCAACAACAAAGTCAACTGCCCTTATATTGTTTTAAAACAAATCCAAAGGCCAAAGCCAACCTTAACTATTGTGTTATGCCCAAATTGATGTAATCGTAACAAAGAGAAGGCAAATACCAGCGTGCTGCTACAGAGCCTGCAAAGTTCCTAAGTGGTTTGGAAGTGCCGAGACAGCAGTGTTTTGAGCTCATGGTTTCCCAAAAGGCCATTTCCCAAGGCAAATGGCCTCAAGGACACCGTTTCTGCTCTGACTTGGAATAAACCCCTCTGTTTCTGAGCACAGCCGCCAGTGAAGGCATGGCTCAGTGCCACGCCAGCCCTGGGCTGGATATGGTCCCCAGGGATGCTCGGAGCTGGACGCACCCTGAGAGCTCACCTCCTGCTCCTTCGCCCGCGGTGCCTCGGAGGGTGCCCGGCTCTCCTTGCTCTCCACCTCTGGTTTGGGGGTCACGCTCTTCCCCTTCGGCGCGGCGCTCTCAGGAGCTCTGGAAGGCTCTGGGGCAGCTTTGGGCAGCAGCTTTTCCTCTGTCGGCACCGGGGGCTTCTTCTCTGCTGGGGCAGGGCTCGGGGTCCTGCTCTGCTCGGCAGCCTGGAGGCTCTTCGCGGGTGAGGGCTGCCGCTCGGGGGGTGCCGCCGGCTCGGCGGGCACTGGTGCAGGCGGTCTCTGCTGCTGGCCGGTGGCTGGCGGCTGGTGCCGTGGGGAGCCGCTGGGCGGTTGCTTTGGGGCAGGCAGCGGCATCGGGGCAGGGTCGCCGAGGCTGCCTTCAAGCAGCCGCTGAGTTTGGCAGTTCAAGCACAGCCATTCGTTCTTCTGCAAAAGAGAGAAAAGTTCTGTTCAAACTCTGGGAGCTTCGTCCCAGCAGGGACATCACCGCAAAGTTCAGCTGATGGGACACATGGCGATGGTGCAAAGGACTTAGCCCACCCAAACCAAATAACTGGCTTCGGAGAGGCCAGGCAGTGAGCAGGCAAGCACTGAAACACCAGTGCAGGCTACGGAGGGGCTCACGTGGCGTTGAGCCGTACCATACAAACCACCTAGAAGAAGAGACCTACCATCCACCTTAAACCTACCCCTACCCTTATCCAGACCTTGGGGGTTCAGCCAGAAGGACCATGGCTACAACACAGGGATTTCAAACTCTTTCCCACAACACCTCAGCATCACTGGCTCTTTTCGTCTCCAGTCTTGCTGGTATTTCGGTTTTAAATGAAATTAAACAGTGAAGGCAGATTGCTCTTGTAGCCTAACACTTCTCAGGCTCCATACAGTTTCTTTCTCACACTGATTTGTTTTGCTCGATACAATAAAGGTTTAATAGCATAATCATAATACTTAAGGATCTTTTTTTCTAGGTTATCAGAAAATACTGGGTACACAAGTACGCAAAAATTTCCCAAAGATATTACCCAAAGTACATGCTGTGCGGGAAAAGAACAAGACAATCTCATCTAGTGAAATTCTCAGCAAGAGCCGTCATTTTATGGCCTGGAAAAAGCAGCTTGCAAACGGGGCTGTGAGTGGCAGAGAGCCCGCGGGGCTACGGCAGGGGCTCTGCATTAAGAGACCAGAAGCACTTTCCCCCCCTGGGTCGTCCAAGGGCTATTTTTACTCACCCAGGAATGTCCAGGGATAGGGGCCTGACATTTCCTTCCCTTTTGATGTTTCATTATCTTAAATCTTTTTGGTTTTGCTGCTAACAGCCTGATATGCTCCAGGTCCTTTTGCCAGACTCCTCTTTTGCTGATCCATTGCTCCCAAAGCTCAGGGTGGCCAACCTCGGGGGGCGGCTGGCCCCAGAGGACCTGTCACGCTGTCAGAGGAGTAGTCTTGGTCTTCAGCTGGACCAGCCTGGGACTGGGGCTGCAGGTCAGCTGCATCTCCTGGGGCCACAGAGGCCATGGTCTCCATGTAGAAGATGAGGTTCATCAAAATGGCCTCAAGGAAATGACCTGAGGTTGTGCCAGGGGAGGTTTAGATTGGATATTAAGAAAAATTTCTTCACTGAAGGGTAGTCAAGCATTGGAACAGGCTGCCCAGGGAAGTGGTTGAGTCACCATCCCTGGAGGTATTTAAAAGACATATAGATGGGGTGCTTAGGGACACGGGTTAGCGGTGGACTTGGCAGTGTTAGGTTAACAGTTGGATTTGATGATCTTAAGGGTCTTTTCCAGCCTAAATAATTCTACGATTCTGTTCTACGACTCTGCAAGCCGTACCTACGGGACAGCAGCAGCATAATGGGCTTGGCACCTGCAACCCACACCCAGGAGTCCCCCCGTTTTGATGAGATGCTGGAGATGCTTTACAGCTGGTGGTGGCCGGGAGTAGTGGGCTTCCCCACAGACACTTCTTTGCTCACACAGCAATCTGGACCAGGAGCAGCCATCCAGCCCACGCTCTCCGGGGAGCAGAGGGGCAGGAGGGCTGCTTCTGTGGGGAAAGGGCGGGCGTGCAATGTCCTCCCTCCCATCCCCACCACCCTGCAGCAGCCCCTGCTCTTCACACAAACATCTTAAGAATATATTAGGGCTTCGGAGGGCCATAAAAAAAATCCCTTTCAGCATGGTAATATTTAATTACTGCTTAATCAAAAAGAAAGTCTAATTAAGGGGCAAGTGCAGCCTATTGTATCTTAATGATTGCATTTGTCTTCTTTTATTTCAGAACTCGCTCTTGTCCCTGTGCCTCTGAATCAGATCTCCTCACCCTGCTCCGCTGTGTAATTATTTCAGACTGCAGAAGGAAATGTGATTGTGTGACACAAATTGAATCCCTGCCTCATGGAAATACGCGGCCTTTCATTTTTCTTTCAGGAATCCCATTTTTCTTCACCAAAGCTCCCTCCTTGATGCTAGCAGCAAGGGGGAGGCATGATGCAGAGCTCAGCTCCTGCTTGTCCCTCTCTGCCACACTATCGTGCCGGTTCCCTGCTTGGTCCTGCGGGAACCAGAGAAGATCAGCCTACCTTGAACTACCCAGCCTGCCCCATCCAGGCCCATAACACACTCCCTGGATGAGGCATTGCTCATGCTCCTGATGTCCCACCCTGCCAGACCATGGTGGCTGGGAAGCTCTAGACGAGGAGATGGGCACAGTTGCTTTTGCCCTTCCAGGGCAAAATTCAAGCCAAGGATGACCATGGAAGGCCAACGCTGGCCACCAAGTGCCAACCGCAGACACAAGTGCCAACCAGGTCCCATCCAAGGAGGTGGCTCTTGTGCCCGTGGAGAGGCAGGAGTCACACATGCTCTGGCCGGTGTCCTGCTGGGACAACCACCATGGCAGGACACCCTCCAAAACATGTAGCCTCCCATACGGATACACTCCTTTTGTTCAGGTTTGCCTGGGTACAGATGTACGTGCTTTCCAAGAGGAGAGGTTCAGGGTGGACATTAGGAAAAGCCCCTTTGCTGAGGGAGTGGTGCAGCCTGGGCCAGTCACCGTGGGCTCTCCACCCTTGGAGGGGGTTCAAGACCTTGCTAGACAAAGTCCCTTGTGTTTGTGACTGCCATGCTCTGCGTGGGAGGCTGGACTGGAGACCCCACACTCCCCCACCAGCACCTCCCTGAGTCCATGCAGGTAAGGGACAGCACCACGGTGCACGGCAGCACATCAGCGGAGAGGACCTGCTGGTGTCATCTCATCAGGATGAGGCTTAGGGGTCCTCCAAGACCAGGCGAGCACAGCACTGATCTGCGCCATGGGGATCTGATGGCTCCGCAGATTGGTCTGAGCATCCTCCCTCAGGTTCCTCCCAGCTGTGGCTCCGCAGCCATTCCTCCTGGCAGCTGCCCCAGTTTGAGCAGCTCGCCCCGCCATCCTGCTCTCACAGATGTGACAGCTTGACTCTTCATGGGACCGCACCGGAAAGTCAATAAGGGAACAATCTCAAGTAAAAATAGCCCTGCCAAAAAGATTGTGGAACTCCACTCTGAAATGCCCCTTGCCTTTCACAGCAGGCAGAAAGGTACAGGTACAGAGGGAAGGCAGAAATCAGGGAAGGTCACAGGTGGAGCTGGCCCTTAGCCTTCGCCAGCCGTGAGAGGTGCTGGCCAAGACCCGGGAGACGCCCAGGATGACAGACTGGCATATACTGAGTTTGCATTTTCTTTTCCAGGCTTTTCTTTTGGCAATTCTGGGGTCTCCCATGCTGGGGAGACCCTGCTGACAGTCCAGCACCCCGTGCTTTAGTCTGAACCCCTGTGGAAAATCACTATGTGGTTATAGCCTCGGATGGCAGAAAAGCAGCAAAGGGATGACTGAATTTTCCTGAGCTGTAGAAAAGCCCCTGGTGCCGTCAGCAGCCAGTGCTGCGCGGAGCTGTGTGTACACCGTGCCGCAGCAGCCAGCGCAGCATTTGCCATCACATCCTGGCACTTGCTGCAGTGAATACCTCCAGCAGCATGAGCTGCAAGCTGCCTGGCTCCTACACGCACATGTGGGGGGCAAGAAATCCTACCCATAGCAGCTGCATGGAGACAGGAGGCAAGCAAAGCCGCCCGCGCCCGGTGGGAACATCTCTGGCAAACCTCTCCGAGCTCTTGGTCCCCATCTTTAAGAGACCTCTGCAGCCCCACTAACACCTGGCACTGACACCCGTCATGCTGCTGGATGCTAAAAAACCAGGGGCTCAGTGAAGATGCTGTGCCTGAGGCATCTCACAGCCCCGTCCCAGTGCCCCGCGCTCTGCCGGTGACGAATGACCCGTCCCTCTCCCGCGGTCCTGCGGCCTTGTCAGTTCAGTGTTTGGTTGGTTATCCTGCAGCACCTCTGCTCCCTCTCAGAGGGACTGGCTCTGGAGCAGCTCCCCCGTACGTAGAACTTGGCCACGGGCATTTCCCAGCTAACACGGCCAACGGGATTAAGCTACCCCTGGAAAAATGCAAACACTCGACGACCGGCTGATTTGCTAACAGCTTGTAAATCCCCATCGAGATTAACCAGATCCCATGAAGATAATAATAATTAGGCTGTATTTAGTGCTTTACATGTCCAAGCTGTTGGATGCCCAGGAAGTCAGGGTGCCCCTCGCTGGGGCGGTAAGCGGGTAAGGAGCTTACGGCAAAGGCACAGCAGTGCCTGTCTGAGTCTCCATGCTTAAAGATGCTGGAAACCATGGCCCTGATGAGGACAAGGATGGGGGCTTGCTCGACACCGAGGTTTGCTGCCCGAGGGTGCACTGTGGTGATGGGCATGGGGGGGTTTAACCACGCAGAGCGCAGGCAATGGGGAGCCGGGGCCGGTGAAGACCGCGATGTGCAGGGAAGACTGGCAGCGCACAGGCGATGCCGCCGGGATGCAGAGAGGGCTCCAGGCGGAGAAAAGCATCAATAATTAAAAAGAGGGATGAAACCAAAGCTCGCCTGAGATGCCATCTTAAATGAAGAGGCGCTGGCACGGCAGGGCGCACTGGAAACCGGCCAGCTGGGCAGGCATTGGGGCGAAGGTGCTGGGGGGCTGCCCAGCCCAGCCAGGTTATCAGCTTACACCCTGGGAGGGTCACCGTCCTGACCCCTCGTCCTCCCAGCTTTCGTTGCCCCCAAACCACTGGGATTTGCAGAGGAGTTTTCTAGGAGGTTTCTAGAGTGAGAAAGGGAGCTCCTGTGGTCATTAGGGGCAGGACAGAGCCCCGGGTGCAAGGCAGCCCCAGCCAGCGACCGAAGCGGGTGGCTTCGTTCAAGGCATCGCATCCGAGCGGTGACAATGATCCCGGTTATTATCTGCACTTCACGCGAGCAGCATTGGGAAATGCAGGACGCAGCCGCAATTCCCGCAGGTTCCACTGAAGGGGCGGCGATTGCCGTGCC